AATCAAAGTAGTCTGAGGTTGCTTTTACAGGCCCCACCATATACGATAGAGCCGTAATCAAGTTTCGATCGGACCAGTGATCTATACAAATGAAGGAGGGTGGTTTGGTCCCCTCCCCACTTTGAACTGGAAACGACTTTCAACAAGTCGAGTGCCTTCAGGCATTTGGCTTTTAGATGTTTGATATGTGGCAGAAAGGTTAAATGCGAATCAAAGATGAGCCCAAGGAATTTAGCTTCCTCGACAACTTTGATGGGTGTGCCATTTAATGATAATCCAGGATCTTTATGTGGTTTGTATTTCCTACAAAAATGTAGACAATTGGTTTTGGATTTCGAAAATTTAAACCCGTTTTCAAGACACCATTTATGAATTTTGTTTAGTCAAATTTGTAATTGTCTCTCAATAGTTCGCATGTTTTTACCACGGCAAGAAATATTAAAATCATTCACGAAAAGAGATCCATCGATTGAATCACTTAAAACCTTTGAAAGACCATTTATTTTAATACTAAAGAGTGTGACAGACAAAATACTGCCTTGTGGGACACCCTGATCCTGATTGTAATTATCAGACAGGGTAGAACCCACGCGAACTTGAAATTGCCTGTCCGTTAAAAACAGTGATATAAAAAGAGGCAAACGGCCTCTCAATCCAAAATCGTGTAAATCTATTAAAATTCCATGTTTCCATGTGGTGTCATATGCTTCTTCCAAATCGAAAAAGTTCGACACTGCATGTTGTTTTTTAATAATGGCATTTTTAACAAAAGATTCTAAACGCACTAAATGATTGATAGTACTTCTGTTTTTACGGAAACCACATTGAATGTCTGTAATGAGGTTATTAGTTTCCAGGTACCACACAAGTCGATTATTTATCATGCGCTCCATGGTCTTGCAAAAGCAGCTAGTTAATGAGATTGGTCGATCATTCGAAGGATCAGTATGATCACGTCCAGCTTTAGGGATGGGGACAATAATAGCATCGCGCCATGAAGGAGGAAATTGTCCAGAAGTCCAAATATCATCAAAAATGTTTAAAAAGGGTTTCTAAGCATGAATCCGGTAAGTGTTTCAGGAGCTGATAATGTATGTTATCAGCACCTGTAGCCGTATCATGAGCTTGATCTAGAGCAGTATGAAGCTCATGAATAGAAAACAGTTCATTGTAATCTTCCCCATTATCTGAAATGAAATTAATAGTTTTCTTTTCCTGTTGTTTTTTATAATTTTGGAATTCAGGTAAATAATTCGACGAGGAAGAGTGTTTGGCCAAAGTTTCTCCAAGTTTATTTGCAATATCAGATTTACTAATTAATAATTCGTCTCCATCTTTAAGATGCTGAATGCTAGATGTAAAACCCTTACCTTTTATTTTCTGGATCATATTCCATACTTTTGATATCGGCGTTCGTGAATTTATTTTTAATACATATTTTCGCCAGGATTGACGTTTATTTTGCTTGAAGGTACGATGTGCCTTAGCATTTAAAAATTTAAATGTATTCAAATTATGGAGCATAGGATGGCGACGGAAATAATTTTCAGCTGTCTTCCGTGCCTTCCTAGCCTGTTTGCACTCATTGTTGAACCATGGTTTTCGTATGTGTGGAATTGCAGAGGATTTGGGGATACACTCATCAGCAATGTTAATTAGTTCATCCGAGAAAGCATTTATAGGATCAGGACTTTCTATAAAAAGTTCAGGTTTAAGTCTGTTACAACACAGAGCTTGATAGAAAGACCAGTTAGCCTTCTTGAAATTCCATCTTGAAGATGGGGTAATATCAGATGGGTTAACGGATGTAAGAATTGTAGGAAAATGGTCACTTCCGCAGAGGTCATCGTGAACTGACCATTCAAATTCATTCAGTAGATTTGAATCCGTGATTGATAAGTCAAGCGCCGAATAACTTCCAGTGCCAGGATGTAAATAGGTGTTGGAACCGTCATTGTATATGCATAAATCATTATCTGAACAGAACTCTTCTAACAGTTTACCTTTAGCATTAGTAGTTGTACCACCCCAAAATGGGTTGTGGCCATTTAAGTCCCCCATAATAAAACAGGGTTTTGGTAGTTGGTCATAGAGAGTTTGAAGATCAGTCTTCTGAATGACTGAAGACGGTGAGATATACAAAGAGCATAATGTAAATGCAACGTGAAAAGTGAGTCGCACTGCAACTGCTTGAAGATTAGAAGTAAGTGTAATAGGGCTATGGATAACAGACTGTTTGACTAGGATTGAAGATCCTCCAGTGGCCCTGTCACCTGGAGGTGAGAAATAATGATAAGCATTGAAATGACGTAGGTCAAAAGAATCAGTCTGCTTTAAATATGTCTCTTGCAGACAAAATGCTGACGGCATACAATCCTGGACTAATAACTGTAACTCATTGTAATTATGCCGTAGTCCTCTGCAATTCCACTGTACGATTTTGTTGGAATAAACTATCTTTTCGGGGGATTTATTGGGGATCTACCCCGCACTGTTTTGGAGGGCGACAAGCTTTGTGCCCTAGAATGGACATTTTCAGACACGTCCATGTCCTCAAGTGATCCATATTTGTTGTAAAGGTTAATTTTATTTTCAGACCCTTTTGGGGTTCTGCCACTTTGTTTTTTCGAATAATCAGGCTTAGGTTTATTCTTCCCTTTAGTAATGTGATGTACATGAGCTTGCGATTGAGACCTTATGGTAGACTGAGCTGATGTACCATGATCATGATCTGGCTCCGGTTGACTGTCGGACCTGTCAGGAAGTGATTCTACTGTTTGAATCGATATTGCAGTGGAGAAAATCTGTGGAGAAGTGGTTTTCACCCAAGTCAAATTTGTTTGGCAGCTTGAAGATGATGTAGTTACTTTAAGTGTTGCCTCAGATGGAGTCCTGGTTTTGGAGGCATACGTTTCTTTTAATTCAGATCTTTGGACAAGCTGTTTGGCTTCGGAAAAACTAATATTTTGAGTGAATTTGGTCTTATTTATCTCCATCTGCAGCTTCCAAATTGGGCAGTCTTTAGAGAAAGAGGAATGGTCTCCAGAACAATTTGTGCATTTCTTATAATTACTTGCACAATCTTCTGTCGTGTGTGTCTTCTCACCACAGTGAGCACACACAACAGACAATGTGCAAGTATTTACACCATGGCCATATTTCTGGCACTTGAAACATCTCAGTGGATTCAGAATGTACGTATCCACTTTGATTTGACAGTAACCAGCCTTTATAGAAGTAGGCGCAGTTGGAGTGGAGAATGAAAACAAATAGGTGTTCGTTTGTTGGATCTCATAGTTTTTTCGGACAGTGAAACGTTTCACGTTTAGCACACCTTGTTCCTTCATCTCTGATGCACTATCAATTTCTAGCATATCAGCAAACAGTCGGTCTCGGTCTCGCACAATACCCTTGCTGGTGTTAAGCGTTCGGTGAGCCGAAACTGATACGGGAATGCCGACAAAAGATTTAGTTGACAGAAGGTTGTTTGCCTGATGTCTCTTACTGCATTCAACAAGTAGAGAACCTGTCCGCAAACGTTTGACCTGTTTTACATCTCCTGCAATGCCTTGTATGCCTTTTGAAACAGCAAAAGGGTTCAGTTTTAAAGGAGACTTGTCAACAGTCTCAAGCACTATAAAACGTGGCCAGTATTCAATAGACGTGGACGGTCGTTGGTCATTAACCTCAGGATCTGTGTCAAGAGGACGTTTCTTTTTGGTAATAGGGGTTTCGTTAGCCATGGTTAGTGTTTAAAGGTTCATCATCCGAGCTCCCCACCCACCATGGAGTAGGAGGTGTTATGATGTGGGGAGCGATCACCTGCCGTAGGAGCAGGGCAACCTGACAGCTCAACGGTAATGTGATGAAATCCTACGCCCACACCTCCTTCCAATCATTGATGGCCAGAGGAAGTTGTTTCAACAGGACAATGCCAGACCCCACACAGCACGTCACACTAGAGAATTCCTCCAGAACCACAACATCAATGTGCTCCCCTGGCCCACAAGATCACCGGACTTAAACCCGATCGAACATCTGTGGGATGCCCTGGACAGACGGGTGCGACGCCGTAACTCTCAGCCCCAGACACTTCAGCAACTCGCACAGTGGGCTGCGATTCGGCAACACGAGATTCTGAGACTTATTCGTTCGTTGCCGATGCCGTGCAGTTCTGGATGCCCACGGTGGTCACACGAGGTATTGACTTCAGCGCCACCACACGTCTCCATGTGACACTCAAACTGACTTTCCTCGAGTTGGTGCCAAAGACAGATAAGTCTGCATTCCCAGTGTGCAGTATTTCATAAACAGTAACATAAAAATACAGTTGACATTCCTATATGCGTCTCCTTTTTGGGGGGAGAGTATATTTACCTTCCATAGTTACTGAAGAACATATACCAAACGTGTCATCAAAATTACATGTATACATGATGGTTTATCACATATAATTGGAAGACGTGACGTTAGCTGAAACATCAGCATGTATCAAAAGTGAATAAGTACATGAATGGATATATCGTAACAGGTTCCTTAATTGCATTTAGAAGTGATACCCATAAGGAAGTTTTATGGATGTCATCTACTTATTTTGATGAACACAGCGTATCGGGGTATATGCTTACTCTTTCATTATCCTTCACCTGATAAAGGGGTAAGCATCTATAAGAAGTTGACTTCCATAAAACTCATTTCCTTGAATGAATATTATACATACGTCTTCTCCAATGCCATTAGAATGATTCTGTTGTCTACTCATTAATAACCATGATTTAAATTTTTCATCATTTCATATCATCATTCTAATGCTTCAGAATGTTAGTTCTCTTCAACCAGAATGTGTAGATACGATTTTTGAAAGCAAAGTCTGAGGGGAGGTGGAACAAACGTTATCCTTCAATGCCTATAAATATCATATATAGGTTTATGTAGAAGCACAATGCTACATCAACCTTGTATACATGCCACAAAATTACTGTATATCTTTGCATTTGCAGATCCACACGAGGATGACCATGGGCCAGTATATTCCAACGTCCGGTCTCGGTCGGTTCGTGTCACAGAACTTCAACAGTACATTCGTGAACGATATGGGATGAAGAACGGATTTATGAACGAATACAACGTAAACAGGACAGTTTACATTGTGTCGATTAAGGGTCTCCATATGTTCAGGTTCTGCTCGTTCGTTTCAAGACAAGATCGGGAATAAGTTACATTTTCGGCCCATCACTGGATGTCTGGTTTCTGTACAGGGGATGAATTATTATTTACTGTTGTTCGGCCTCAACAGCAAACAAAATGGTATTTTATTTATGCACATGGCTTGAGCTACCTGTATCATAGCATTAACTTTCCACGAGCAGCAGGTGCCAATGTTCCAGTGAAGTAGATGAAATTTTGACCAAATGTATCGGTTTCAGCGGGAGAAAATGAAACAGATTATTCCCGGGCGTATATATTATATATTTGCACAAAGCTATTGTCGTATACAAACTTTCATTTAGGGCCTATTCGATTATGCTAAACCGGTTTTGGTTTCTGGAAAACCATGCACTCGTTTATGTAAAACCTAAACCTGGGTTCTGAAACTTCGAAACCATCTCCGAGGTAGGTTTACCAGTTTCGATTTCGCGTTCTCTCACAACGAACATGGCCAAAAAGGATCTTGGTGGCAAAAAAGAGCAGCAGTTTCTGTTACCAAAATAATTATAAAAATCAACTGAGAACTAGGAAAATATTATTTATAACCCCAGTCTATTGAACATGACTTTTTTATGTAACTTGTATACATATGATTACTTGTAACAGTATAATTACATGTACGCAAATATTTACTTCCAAAAGCATCTCATCTCTTTATTGTTTGTTAATTCCCTCATAAAATGACCCCAAAAATATTATCTTTGGCAATGCTGTCATTCAATTCGTTCCTCATGTATAATAGCTGAGACATAGTTTGTATGGATTTTGAAACCGAATGGTGAAACCATCCACTCGTTTATAAAACTAGAAACTAGTTTCACTTTGAAACCATATATCCGAAACCATACACTCGTTTATAACAGTTGAAACCAGTTTCAGAAACCAAAACCAGTTTCGCAATAATCGAATAGGCCCTTAAGCAGGTTTAAGTGTTGGCCTAAAATACATGATCCGTTGCTAACCCAGGACACAGTGGCGAATACTGTTATATACAGTTTAACAATCACCTTCATATATTTCATGACATTCACTGCTGTCATAAAATGTATATCTTGAAGATGTTCCCATCCGGAAATCAACATCCCTGCGATATAAGCAAAGGTTCAGGAAACAAGGGAAAGAACAGATTCATCGGAATATACCCTTGTAAGTATTGTTAACATAACTACACGAAAATAAAGCTTCACTTGTTATTGCTGGTTATTTGTTGTTTAACGCCGCTCGGAAAACGTTCACCAATATAATGGCGATCTGTAAATAATCGAGTTTGGACCAGACAATCCAGTGATCAACACTATGAGCATCGATCTACGTAATGGGATATAATGACATTTGTCAACGTCAGCGAGCCTGACCACCCGATCTCGTTAGACGCCTCTGTCGACAAGGAAAGGTTGCTGAAGAACAAATCTAACCCGGATCTTCATGGGTGTGCCACGCATTATGCATACATCCATGGTTATGTCTTTTTGCTTTTTATGGGTGTTCTAAACAAAATATCCAATTACAAGCACTACCCAAGCTTACATTATTTTCTTGTAAATATAGTCATCTGCATTTCAGATGACCATTCCAGAGTGTTACTGAAGAAACTCCCAGGGAAGGACCACTCCGACTACATCAATGCCAACTATTTGCATGTGGGAATTCCTTTACGATTTAGTTATAGGCACATTGTTAAATACCGAATTTGGCTGCTGATGCTTGATTTCAGAGACGAAAATATATTTATGTTTCTAAATCTTAGATGATAAAACATGTCACCTTTTATGACGTCCAGTACCGCTTATTTTAAGGATTCCAGTTGAAGGTACCTAATGATACACAGAAAATACATTTATTCTATGCTACTTTTCCAGGGTTACAGCAGGAAGAACGCATATATTGCAACTCAAGGTACGTTTCAGTAAACAGTAGTAATGCAGTTTCGATTTGAATCATTTTCCAAAGCTACTTTCTCCTAACTGTGATTTTATTATACCCATATATACAAAACATAAAACATAATGCGTTCATGTACGTTAAAAGAGTGTTTTGCAAGACATTGTAAACCAAAAGTCACACTGTGTTTTAATCTGATTGGTTGAAAAACATGATCGAAGGTTAATCGATTTCCTGAAATTGCACGACTATTCGCTCTGTGTTAATATTTACAAATATCGCACATAATTGTATTGTTGCGTCCTTAAGCAGCGGTGACGTCGGTCAAATTATATTGTGACATAATGTCAGAATGACGTCACAAATGAGCAGTTCCAGATGCTACCATGGGAAGCAGCTGAAACAGCCAGCTATTGATACTTCACTGCTGTAGACACTATTGACACTTCACTGCTGTCAATAAGAGCACAGACAGAAAAACGCGTGTGGACCTTTTGGTGTATTTTTGTGTTTACAATGTCGGGATTATTTCATTTGGAACCGACGGCGTTAGCCAGAGGTTTCAAATGAATTAATCCCGCGCTTCAAATACTCAATAACGCCCGGAAATTGGCCAAGACATGATGTTAATCTCCTAATTAATGTTCTGCGTACGTTGTTTCTATAGGTCCTAACTCTGTCACACTTCCTGACTTCTGGCGGATGATGTACGAACACAACATCAAGCAAATTGTCATGCTGACCAACGTGTACGAAACAGCAAAGGTACCAAGAAGTGGCGCATAGTACATCATCCTGCAGAATTATTGCCTGAACCTATTTCTACAACACACAGATATACTGAAACAATAATGATATGAGCATGAATGTCAACCTCATCGAAACGTCTTATACTTGTATGAAGTTCATAATCCTTCTGAACTTATATAAAACTTACATCTCGCTGGTATGAAGGACTGCTTTGGTGTACTAAGTAGATTCCATAATTTGGTTTGAGTTCATCAGCTTACTTATGTGTAGTCTTGTTCTCAAAACCACCATACAGAAAACCACACATGACCAATAAGTATCTATTTGTAGTTCACATTTGGCATGGTGGAAACTTTAAAAGTAGCTTCTTATCCTGGTGTCGAAGCCAGAAGCGTTACAATTCAGAACGCATTTAATTTGATTAATAATTATCTGTCATGATATCATACTATCACGATGGTTGCACTACGCTTCAAAACAGTCATGCTTTATAACTGCATGTTTTTTCACTAATAAACAATCGTAAAGTGATTATTGAATCTGTGTGTACGAGTCATTTCTTACAGAAAAAATGTGAAGAATACTGGCCTGAAGCTGGAGAACGTAAACAGTTTGGGAACATCCTTGTCGTGAACAACGGGGAAACAGCACGTGCCGACTGGGTCATCAGAAACATGCAACTCAAAGATAAGAAGGTTGTTTTCAGTGGTTGATATTTCTTATAGTACAGTATATGACGTACTTGAATTAAAATACCCTATGCGTCACCCCACGTTCCTGGGACGAAAATACATGGAGTTATTCACTGTTGGATATTACACTGTCCGGTATCCATTGCCAATGACATTGCAGGAATCAAAACTATTTTTCATGTCCTTTAACAAAGTTAATACTTAACGTTGTGTCATTCTATTTCACAGGTTTTCTTTTCAAGCTTAATTGTATCGGAAGTTGGGTTTAACGCCGGATATAACAGTATTTCGGAAACAGGCATTTGGGTGCAGACAACTTGTGAACAGTTTACCCAGAACTACGCAAAGTTTAGTTCACATATCATCCGATTAGGACCATACTGAAACAGGTTTTCTCATTATTAGACAGGAGAGATAAAGACAGTAACCCAATACCACTTCGTCACATGGCCTGATCATGGCGTTCCGTCAGCTCCCGCCATTACAGCCTTCTGGAAGAAAGTATGTGATGATGGACGTAGCAATGACTTGCCAATGGTCGTCCATTGCAGGTGAGTAACACATTCGCACAAAGCAAGAAATCCTTACTTGTTGAAAGTAGATCAGGTGGTCAATAATTTGATGTTTACTTAAAACGATGTGCAACATGTTTTGATAGCTGCCATGCCACATATTTGATCATGTGCAGCATATGTCAGTGTTTCATGTCATGTTGTAAGACCAGAAAACTCAATAAGAAACCTAAAAACGCATACCTACCGAAGGCGTCTCCGCACTGTAAAGTAAAAGGTCATCAGCATGGGATTAGAGTGGTCGAAGAAGTTGCGGGTGTAGTTAGATCACGTAGATGTCGCAACTGGATATGATGATCGGCATCTAAATGTTGACGACGGTCTGTCATGGAACATTGAAGTGCCTTGCCACATACTGCTGTGTTTCCACTGCAAACAAGCATTGACGTTACTGTGTTAAACTGCAGTCAAACTTGAAACTGTTCTGTCGTCCATAGCTGCTCAGAGTGATGTCTTTTTAACCCAGAAAACGGCGGCCTCTAGGCTAGTCAATCTACGTGAAAAATGACGCAACCTTAAACTAATTGCAACAGAAAATGTATGTGTTTTGGTCACTGTTGGGGTGTCCTTTATGCCATACCAAAAAAATCGGACTCCGGGAAAATTCGGGAAATGTCATTTTTTCAAGGTCAAAGTTCGATTGACATGTGGCTTCGATCGCCCATTTTGAATCGTAATTGTCGCGATACGTAGCGATAACTTACGATATCTGTAGCTTTTATCTTCTGGTGAAACCGCTTTCATTTGTTTGGACCTGAAAATGTTTCGTGTTAAGTTACAATAGGTAAGTTATAGCTCATATTCAGCAAACAACGACTTTTTAACCCTTGATCAATAATGTAACCTTATCAGCTCAAATAAAATGTAAACAGTATTTATTTCATACGTTGTAAACTGACAGCACACCTGTCCTTGCTTGTGTACGTTGCTGATCTAAATGTCACATGACCAGACACGTGATATCCTGGTCAAAATTTAAAACTTTGGAAACAAGTAAGGGCCATTTCTTATAGAAAACTTAATGCTTTTTGAGAATTTCCGTCAATTTGTACCTGGTGAGGTTCGAGCTAGTGCCTCATTGATAAATACAACCTGGCCACAATGTACCCACCCTACATGTCAGCACAGAACGCATTTACGTTTCTGCAAGCCAGTTCGTGGTGTTTGTCGACATTCTGAGGTTTGGTGCCCCTGTCACGATGAGCCTAAAGAATAACTTCCTGCATAATACTTCTATATAAGCTGAATATTTGTGACTTTTCGTCGTTTTTAGAAGTATGAAAACAAAATGAAAGTTTCATGGAAATAAATATCATAAAATTACTTGGGTCTGCCACAACTCTGAATTTGACACAAGTGATCGTCCATACAAGTCATCCTGTTTACGCGACAAGCCAGCCAATCATATGATCGAACTTGTGTGACGTAGCTTTCTGGGTCACTTGTGTTGACAGGCAGAGGGCGGCCACGCCGCGATTGTGAAAAGCAGTCAATAATACCTGGATTTCGGAAATGTTTGATATAAATAAACAAGTTTAGAGGTAAGAGATTTGAAAATAAGATTATATGAATATTACTTTCAAAATTCAGCGACAGTTCTTAAGTGATCGAACTTCCATAACACGAGGATATATTAACGCTATTTTGGGGTCAAATTCATCTTTTCTTAAAGCAACATTCACATAGTTACAGGTCGTTTATGGCGGAGCGTGTAAAAGCAATTTAATGATACTTGATTCTATTCATCACCAAGGCCCCAGGCTCTGCCTTGGAGCCTTCAGAACTTCACCGATTCAGAGCTTATATGTAAAGGCTTACCTTTTTCAACTGAATCAAATCGTGCATCTACCTGTGTTTTTCATCCTCTGTATAAAGAACTCTATACAGAAAACTCATCACTTATACCACCACTTGGAATAAGAATACAATCTGATATTTCTGCAGCTAACATAAATCTTGAAAATATAGCCCGAACCTATCTTTTCTCTTCTCCACCATGGAAGTTAGTAAGGCCAGAGGTGGACCTTACTTTAACTAAACTTAAGAAATCTGAAATCAACTCACTTATGTACCAACAACAATATCACGAATTAAGAAACACGTTTGATAATTCATTACCAAGGCCTCTGATGGTAGTTCAGGATGGTGGACAAGAGACGGAAAACGGAAGTCAGCGGCAGAATTGAAGACAACAAATACAGCCATGTCTATTATGGTTGGGAAATCATGGTCTATATGGTATACGTAAACACATGACAGAACGCACACCAGGATAGAGTGGTCAGGATAGAGTGCGGAGACCCGCTCTGTCCCTTACACACATGCAGAAGCCGAACGGCGATTCGTCGTCGTCGACGTAGTCGTTGGTGGTCCAGGAACTTGCTGTAGCATTTTCAGGCGCTGTAATTCTTCATCACTGTCTGTGCGTGCTGACCATTCTGCTATATGTCTTCTCGGAGTGAAAAGAGTCTATGGAAGAACATCAGTTGTCGTTTGTGTATCTCCTCTATGATTGGTAGCCAGTTTATCATGCTCAAACACATGTCAGTTCTCGTCCGGAGCTGGAATCCTTGCAGTGATTTTCCCATGTAATGTTATGTTGAAGGAAGGTGTCTAATATCTTGTCGAGAAAGTTGAGTCCAAGTTGACGTCCATACACCATGCATGGCAATGGTCTTGTGAACAGTGCTTGAAGATTTCTACGAGTTGACTCTTTTGGGTTTCAATCCCATTCAATCAGAGCATGGAAGCAGGCTTTAGCTTTCTTGAAGGAGTGAGTCACATAGTCATCATTCTTCAGGTGATTGTTGACTTGCATCCCTAAGTGAAGTGTATAGGATATTGTGGACATATTTTCGCCAGTGATGTGCCATTCTACTGTAGAAGATCCAGCTTTAGGGCCAAAGACGATAACATGACACTTTGAATGTTTGAGTTCATACCTCCACTCCCTAGCATATTTAGAGACAATATCAAGCGTTGACTGGAGGGCACTTGGGGATAAGGCTAACAAGGTGACGTCATCCGCTAAGCATGGATTACCAAGACTCACATCCATGTCATTGACATTACAGTTTGAAGATTCGAGTTAACCAAGGAGTTCGTCTATGAATATGAGGTAGAGGGTTGTAGATAGGACTCCTCCCTGTTGTACCCCTTGTTGTATTGGGAATGATCTTGACTGGGTTTCATTCACTGCCACTGAGCATCTTAGATGTGTATAGGCATTGAATAGAAGCTTCCATGAGAGTCCTGTGATCTTGAGTTTTGTAACTTTATAAACAACATTCTGTGTCAGACCATGTCGAAGGCACGTTTATTATCCAAGTATGCTGCATACATTTTGCTGCCCAATATTCATTGTGGTATGTTGTTTTTGCTTGATCCTACAAACCTATAATTGATTAGATCTTACATTCATGGTCTAATGCAAAAGAAGTGGGACACCCAAGTAGGTATGAATAGATTACATTAAATTAAACCAATCATCGGTCACATCCGTCTGGGTTGTCAGTCCACATTCGAAGAGGTCATCATACGACGATGTGGTACTGGCCACAGCAGATATACGCATGAATATTCGTTGAAGGGTGAGGATCCTCCATTGTGTTTCCTTTGTGATGAGAGAATCAGGGTCAAGCAAGTCCTGCTTGACTGTATTGATTTTTCCATCACAAGGGATCAATATTTCCAATCATCATCAATGAGGGATCTTTTTAATAGCATTAGTTCACGTTTAATCATTGTTTTTTAGAGGAAATTGATTAATTGACAAATCTTGATGTATCTAGTTAAATATTTTATATTTAAGTTTGGATAAAATTATTAACCGAAATTGTTCATGGCGACGACCACGACGGGGGATGAAGTACCGTAAATTATTAAATTTTTGGCTGAAATGGGTTTCCATACGTTGATTTTACAGACGGTACCCAAGTTTACAGTCGAAATAATGGTATTCTTGACTGAAACTTCCAATCATTCATTGAAATTATCATCAACATCAAACTTGCAGCTATTTATTACAAACAATTCATTGCTACAGAGTGATAAGTTTGTTACAAGTGTGCATAGCGAAGTGAATGCAAACTAACTCGCGTGAATGAAAGAGTCGCATGTGAATGTACCCTTATGTTAAATGGCTTAATGTTGAAATTGATAGTGTTACCTTTTGATGTGAGGACAAAGCTATTTTTTGCTCACAAACATGTGGAAAACTCACAAGTGTTATCTCCCTTTGTAAGCTTCCGGACTACGGTGCACCGTATTTGCTTAAGTATCTACGATCGAATTTTCTGTTTTTAATCACAAAGTTAAGGATGATCCCGACTTTTTTGGTTGTCCGATTTTTTGTGGATGGTTAATAGGTGCATAAAGTTTATGAATCAGTTGGATTTGTTTCTGTTGGAATTAGTTTGACTAGCCTACTCAGCATGTGTAGATAAGGAACTTCACAATGCACGTGAATTGCCTGGTCGCTTCCCTTTGCTATTCACTATAAACGCTAGTTTACAGTTACGTTGATGATTATTAAGGAAGACTTTATTTGAAGGAAGATTTATGGAAGTCAACTTCTTTATTATGAGGACCACGACGTTTCGGAGTATATCCTTACTCCTTCATCATCCTCTTGAAAGAAGGAGTAAGAATATACTCCAAACGTTGTGTTCCTCATAATAAAGAGGCTGACATCCACGAAACCCTCTTCCTTTTGTGTATCACTTCCAAATGCTATTCGAAGATTTGATGTTTTTGGTCTCTATTATTCACATTGTTTCGTTATTGTTAAGGAGTTCGGTTTCAGAAATGTTTTTAAAATGTTGTAATGGAATTTCTTGCAGCGCTGGTATCGGACGCACAGGGACGTTCATTGGACTGGACTTCCTGTTCGACCAAGCTAGGACTGAGGGTCGGGTCGACTTCTTCCAGTGTATACAACAGATGAGGGACAATAGAATCAACATGATCCAGACAGCAGTAAGGAATATACATATATACTGTATATAATATAATATATGACAACAGCATCCGATACATAATACCTGTAGTAAACATGGTGACAAAGTCGCAATAATACTGAAGCAATTTGCCTCGTGGACTGACTGACTGACGAACTGAGTTTGGTTTTACGCCGCTTTTAGCAATATTCCAGCAACATCACGGCGGGGGACACCAGAAATGGGCTTCACACATTGTACCCATGTGGGGATTCGAACCCGGGTCTTCGGCGTGACGAGCCAACGCTTTAACCACTAGGCTACCCCACCGCCCCGCCTCGTGGATATATAGGTGACATGTTTGAATTAAACGTTATAATGTTGGATTTCCACGTTCGTACTGACACTGACATCGTGAAAGTGGAAGGTTTCTCTCTTTATATGTGCAGTTACTCAAACAAAAAGAAAATACGATCATAACTGACGGGCTACGGAGAAGTCCCTTTAATATACTGACCCAAAAGAAGCAAAGAAAATTTAGAGTGTTTAAGAATCCTCCAGGTAATAATTCTACCTAGGTTAATGTTTGAGACAGGGAATCGGTGTTGCGTTTGCTGGATCCATCCTTGGATCCGTCGTACATACAAATATGGAGAAGTCATTCTTTACCTATCGGTTTTATAACAAATACTGTGTGTCCCAGGAGCAGTACCGATTCCTACATGAAGCTGTGTTTGAAGCCACACAGAGCGATTCCTCATTCTACACAGTGGATACATTTGAAAGGACTTTCCAGACCTTTGAATCTGCTGACAAGGAAAATGAGCTTATCATTAAGGAAATGAACGTAAATATATACAGATTTATATCATAATAACATTACACAAAACTTCTTCGCTTAAACAAAAGCGAGGGTTTATATAGTGTTTCGGTTCTTGTTTTGTTTTTTGGTATGTATTTGTTTTTCTTTTGGTTGGGGTTTGTGTTTGTTTTGGGGTTTTTTTGGGTGGTGGTGGTGTTTTGACTGGTGGCGGGGGTTATCTGAGAATGTTGAATACTAAATCGATATCTCGAAAGCTTTCGGCAAACGCGCCTGTACATTGTTATTTGTATGAGCCGATTTTACAAATGAACACACATGTTAATTTGTTTTTAAAGTCACTGATTGAGCTGCAACGGACACCTGGTGAAAAGGAGATCACGGCAGCCACGTTACCGGCAAATGGATCGAAGAACAGATCACAAGCAATCATCCCCGGTTGGTGTATCAATTGATATTACACAATATTACAGCTATGATTGTGTAATTATGTAAGCAAAAGCGACAAAACAAATTTCCAAAATAGTAATAAGTTGTACGATTCCAACTATATGCATATACAGTATACCTATATATATAATATATTATACCTATATACCTAGCACCAATATCCAGGTCACCTGCTCACCTGCTCTGTTTTTCCCTCGATCACTGGATCAATATCAACGGCACAATGTATTATCAATCTTAACTCCCTGGGGATCCTACAACTCTTGCAGCCACTAGGCGCACCGAGTTAATGTGGCTTTCCCATCCTTACGAGGTACCCATTCAACGCTGGGTGGACTGAGCATAATGATACAAGCTGTGATTATATAGAACGCGTATCCTGCCCCACTGCATGCATCTGGAAAAATACATGTAGAACTAAGTCAAGTATTTACCTGAAAAAGGTCATGTTACAAAACTATACGTCACGATATGGCTGAAATACTGCCGATGTGACTAGAAACTTTAACTCACTCATAACACTATACAGGTAATTGCATCGGGCATCATTTACGTCACTGATGCGTCAAATGTATTAAGACACCCTTTAGGATATAAAAAGTAAAACAAAACATCAAGTCAGATTCCGAAGCAAGTGAATCAAAGTCAAGTGTACCCACCAATATGTTCATGTTGACAATTGAAGCATATATTGACCAACTGGGAGTTGGGTCAGTGTATTATTAATACCTTAAACCAGCTGTGTTAGCAGTAGTTATAAGCACAGCCCTGTGATACGAAACAGGCTTTGTTATTGTGTTTCAACAGCTGACAGACACAGGGTGATGTTATCGTCAGAGGCTCCGGGCACCAATGACTACATCAATGCTCTGTCTCTACCGGTGAGAAGGCACAAATCATCTACAGGATCCATAGTATCAGTGAAATATTGTTACACCCGACTAGTAGTACCATTCCTGAATCATAATGACAGCATAAAGTTCGGTAGTTTAAATAAAATACTGAGATACATGGTGAAATCTTTGGAACAGGAGCGGTATTGGTTGGATGCATGTTCGACAAAAATCCTCACAGAGATAGTCTAATCGAGTGAAATATCATCGAGATACCGTAACGTCAGTTGGATACTCTCATGTGTTTAGAATACAATCACTTAGATCTAGCATTATTATCTTCAAATCAAGGCCTGACATATAAGTATTCAAAAGCTTCATGTGGCAATGGAAGTTTGAGTGGTCTATAAAATGAGTAGTATCCAGAAGGTAACATTGTCAGGACTTCAGTTTGTATTCTGTATATCCCAGTCACCTTGAGAATTCGTTTGGCCCTCTGTCGTTCATGGGTCTTGATATTCATCGATTCATTAAATGTTTACCACTATCTGGTTTTGGTTAACAGTTCTTCGCCAACAAGGGCGAGTTTCTGGTGACCCAGATGCCACTGAAGAAGACAGTGGTAGACTTTTGGAGGATGGTAGTCGAGAGAGGCTGTAACCTTATCGTGGCGCTTGATACACCAGACAGTGTGTCATCAGAGCAGGTGAGTTAAGAGTGAGTGAGTTAAAATTTAAAGTCACATCGGCATTGTGTCAAGCCATATCATCACCATCTGCATTTATGCTACTATTATTAAATGCCACAGGCACATACATATTCTTTGAATGGTATGAGCTTACATACCCTCTCAGTTTACAGCACATCAACCCCAATCAAGGGCATGGCCTTTTACAATTTCCAGTCTTCCTCAAATGTTATGGATCAGTTATATTCTTTATTGATATTCATGTGTATATCTAGATCTGTTATCGTCGAAGTAAGACCTCTTCAAATATGGACTGACAACCCAAGTAGGTTTAACCGATAGCTGGTTTAATTTCATGTTACTGATTTATACCTATTGGGTGCCCCGCTTCCTTTGCATTACATCTTTGATGTAACATCTGAGTACATGCTATAATCACTATTCGGATTAGAACTGGTGTCACAGTTTTGTTTAGTGCTGCTTTAGCAACAGCAGCAGCCACCGTGTTACGGGTAATTCCATCGTGGTTTGGTAAACTACAAAAGATGATGTCGTACTGGTCAGTAGCAAGATCATTGTATGACTCGGAAATATCAATAACAGGAGAATTCTGGCAGGAAATGTTTTACTTTCCTGAAGACAAGACAAGACAATAAGAAAATAAAATGGATTTAGATTGACAGTTTTTGTCACTGTGACATAATTTCATAATTACGAAGGTAGATAACCTTTGTTTAATGTAATCAGATATACTAAACAGTGTCTCAAATGAGTGAGTGAGTTAAAACTTAACCTCACATCGGCAATATTGCAGCCATATCGTGACGAGAACAGTTTATATCAATATTCAAATCAATAAATGTATAACGTAAAAACCTGTCATCGAAGGACAGTAAAACTACTAGAATATCACAGCTCTTAATTGAAAACTAGTACGCGATCATAAAAATATATCATGAAAGACAACAGTACAATATAAGAACGGGCTATAGATCACTAGCAACTGAAGGTTGATCACCATACTAAGGACCATGGGGACGTACAGTACCTTTGCTACCAACAGTGTCTCTAAACGGGAATCAGTTAAATGTTTACATAACACATAATGAACGTTATCAGCACCTGTAGCAGTATTACGATTGTACTCTAAGACGATATGCAGCACATGAATTGAAAAGACTTAAAATACATATAAGCATGGCATGATTAGTTGTCCGAGTTTCCAGGCAATCACATCCACACCTGGAAAAGATTTGCCTAACACTTAATATCCTATTTCTTCAAATAGTAGCCATGTAATGTTTGGTAAATTCCATGACAATACCAAACTGTCTATCGGTTGAAGCTTCTTCTGCCTCTTTCCAGTGTATTATATAACGTAGTACTTATGACCATCTAGAGAAGCGTTTAGTGTCCCTCGACTAATGTTTCAGGAGATACCAGTGGAGTCCTAGATGATATCTTCCAAAGCTAACAGACTACAAAATACATTGCCCTTAACTTTGGCCATGTTGATATTCAGTTGATACAGATAATTGCCTATGATAGGGGCCATCCTATTTAATTAAGAAATACAGTTCGCTCTACCCCATGTATAGTGTAATAAAGTACACTTTTGCCCTGAACTATTATAGTTAAAGGACGAGAACACTTGCGTGTTTCTTTTCCCAAATTTAATACCTACAGATAAACAGTTTGATGACTGTCTACGTTCGGGTGGAATATCTTCTCTAATATATTTTAATTGCATCTGTGATTAACTTAAACCATATGGGGCAATATGAACGTCGCATTTCTATTACCAACTTAAGTTTAAAACCCTAAATCCAGATGAAGCTGACATTCCATGGATGCATTGTGGGACTTCAAACATTGCGAAAGTTGCCGTGTCGCTGTTTAATTGTGAGTCGAGCTGTGACATGTTATCTGTCGAAAAGCATAAGCGTAATGTTACCACCAGTGACGAAAGCAATACAAGAAACGGGCTGCTACGGAGTAGTTTACCGTAGGAGACTGTACGAGGCGATGACAACAAACATGCATCTTGACGTCGGTTTTGAGCTAATGACGTCAATACAGAGTGCACTTTATCGCCTGATAAAGTACTGTCGGCGCCTTTGATCTATTTGCAAAGCATCTTGGAATACCCATCTTATTAACAAATACAGGTAGCATCGTTGTGGACTTACGTATAAAACAACTTTGCATTCAACATTCAATACGTACAATGTAGATCTATACAGAGTTCACAGTTATCTTCGAGGGATTCAGGAGGCCTTATGCTGACGATTTAGCTTAGCAATGGGGTCCGTCTTGATCTCTTCGTAAAATGTGTCGTCATGCAACATGTTGTCTACCAATATAAATTCCTGCCTTTATCAACTTATTGCCCAGCCAATGATATTAAGTATGTTTTTGTTCTTCGTTACATTCAGTATATATACAGCCCCCTCTTCTGGTAACATTTCTGCTTGTCAAGTTACTGGAAACTGTACCCAAAGGTCTCAACATATAAAAAGATTAACATATGTAATACTTGGGATTACACTTTCTTAGTAAAGTACAGATTCTAGTACTTTTGTTAGGCTGAGTCACCCACACCCCCAGAGTCAGGCATCTAATCATCAGCACACAAAGTCAGCCGCCCAAGCCACTGCTGGCTGGATATTAAGTGCATGGCTTCTGAGGATGTGGGTTCGAATCCGCATGGGATTCAACCCAACAAAGGACTAGAATCTGTACTTTACTTAGAAAGTGTAATCCCAAATAGAACATATGTTACATTTGACCACTTTCTAAATGGCACTGTGTAATAGAAGAAGTGGCTGTCCATAAATTTGTCCTTATTGTAATTTCGCTTTGTGTTTCCAGGATGTTGGTGTCTACTTACCGAAGGGTAATGAGCCAGTCACCTGCTCTCCATTTATCGTTCTTCACGATGGAGTTAATACCCCGTGTGAAGGTGTAACAGAGACTTTCCTCACAGTTAAGAGAGAAAGCATTTATGCAAACGAGGTACTGAAAAATTCACCAATTTTGAAAACGACCAGTGATGACTTGGTCTTCAGCAACCCATGCTTGTCGTAAGAGGCGACTAACGGGATCGGGTGGTCAGGTTGATTTGGTTGACACATGCCATCATATCCCAAATGCGTAGATCGATGCTCGTAATCTTGATCACTATGTTCTCTTGTGGGTAACGAGTCTGTTGGATTCATCAACTATTGGATGCACAGAATCGTTTTGAAACGGTTATTAATCTGCTACATCTCCGTCCTTTTTGAAAGACAATTGGTGGAAGTGATATGGAGTTGGGAGGGGAGTATGTATGAATTGGGATAGATACGGCGTAATTTCATTATTGCATGTATCCAGTAAGTATGAAGTTTCATTTGTTCCAGGATATCACGTCTGTGAGTCTGCTGATGTTCAATGACTGGCCAAGAAGCCAGGAAATCCCGACTAATAAACTGAGTGTCATCAGGTTCATCAACACTATTGACCAGAGGATGATGAAATCACCAAAGAAGCCTGTGGTAGTTCATTGCTTGTATGTATTTGTTCTTGAATCGGAGGCTGGAGTAGCGTATAACGTTCGCTCGTGACACCAAAGACCCGGGTTCGAACCCGTAAGTGGGTACAATGAGTGAAGCCTGTTTTCGGTGGAATATAGCTAAAATGAGGCTTAACACCATACTCACTTATGAAGTGTTTCGCTTTACACATCCTATTGATAAGACAAAATGGGTTTATTATGAATAATCTTTGGCACATAATTTTAACTACAAACACGAAGGAAGGATGCAACATGTTTTAAATATGCTTCTAACATCTAACATCAAGTAAATATAAAATGTAAAACTACAACACGTAGAACAGATAAACGTGTTTTCGCAGGTGCATATTGGCATATCATATCAGTATAACCGGTTGCATATCGTTATACGATGCTCCTCACAACAGCCAATTCGCGAGGCCCTACTTCTGCAATCAGTCATACCTAGCAGGCGACCTACCATGCGCGCAACTGACCATCCACAGGTCTGGCTTATACTGCTGAGAATAATACGTACTTGGTCCAACACTCGTTCACTGATAGCCCCTGAGTGACCGTCGTTTTGTATGTGCTTGGTGTGAATGAAAAAAGGGAAATTGAGCTATTCTCTTTTTCGCTGATGTTACCAACTCTAATCTTTACGTTTATCTTGGTAATATACCCTATACCTATTCACCAATGGCAGTGTCAAAGATTCTTGTAAATCTAGCTGTTGACTGTTCGGCAGTTATGGTACTTGGTATTGTGCATTGCGCCATAACCACGCCCATAACTTTGACCTGCCCGGGGCCTCCTTTCCCAAAGCACCAAGGTGAGTCACTAAGGTAACCTTAGTGCAATGTTAAAGAATGGGAGTTAAGGTTAACCTTAGTACAGGTTGCTTCGTGAAAGGAGACCCAGGCCTTTTGGTTTTCATAAATGTGACGTTCTTTTGAAATATACTTCTAACGACATTCAGATAATGACATGCGGTACAGTATTGCCTTTCACAGTTGGTTTTCGGTTCTTGTAAGTGCATAGTATTTTTCCACGGTTATTCACGTCACGGGGCGGTGGGGTAGCATAATGGTTAAAACGTTGGCTCGTCACGCTGAAGGCCCGGGTTCGAATCCCCACATGGGTACAATGTGTGAAGCCCATTTCTGGTGTCCCCCGCCGTGATGTTGCTTGAATATTGCTAAAAGCGGCGTAAAACCAAACTCATTCAGTCAGTATTCACGTCACGGTTATTCACGTTTACATATTAAAATGTTAACAGATTATCCTTAGCCTCAAAATGTGCTCAATGTCTACCTTCAGTGATGGGGCAACTCGGAGCGGTTTGATCTGCAGTCTCATTAACATCATGAGTCGTCTCAAGTTGGACAAAGAAATCGACATCCATCTGTCTGTGAGGGAACTGAAGCAACATAGGCACCAGTTTATACCTAGTTCAGTAAGTTGATCAGCCGCAGATCAATCTTCATGCTGTTGACTACTGTATTGTCTGGTCCAGACTCGATTATTTACAGACCGCCGCCATATAGCTGTAATATTGCTTAGTGCGGCGTTAAACAACGAACTGAAGTTGAAGCAGTTTCGACCTTCAACGAAGCAAGTGATCTCTTTGGTTGCGAGGTTTGATAAAAGAGTGAGTGAGTTAGTTTGGTTTTACGCCGCTTTGAGCAATATTCCAGCAACATCACGGCGGGGACACAAGAAATGGGCGTATGATAAGAGAACAAACATGTCCTCTGTAATGGGTTTGTACAGCTATTGTTTTGTTTCTGAATACTTTGAAACAACCAATCCAAATTCTCCATCACGTCACTCACATAACGAGCCTTTTACGTACATGTAAGGTGATATTAGAGAAGAAAATATTCTTGTCATTCTTTCACAATTAAATTTTTGCATAAGACCGCAAGAACACCCGGATCCAATTAATATGAACGGTCCACGACAGAGAATGACCGGTTCCGGCCAAAAGGCAAATTAAAACTGTACGAATGCACCACGACAAATCGACTTCTAATAGCCTAAAACGCAACGAGTGTTGCACTATGATAATGAAACGTAAAGTCTGTCTACGACATGTGTTTCCTTAATTTACAGGCCCAACTGAGATTCTGCTTTGAAATAGTCCAAGCTTACCTGAACACTAATCGTATATCAAGGCACCAGTGAAACAAATCAAATTTTACTACCTACGATGTACCTGCCGTGGACAATCAAACTCTCCTCCAGACAAGGGGCAGATTCCAGGTATCGTCGACGTACCTACGACACTGACAGTCAAATCATCCTGCTCTAGACAAGGGGCAGATAACTTTTGAGACGAAGGTCAACAGTTAAAACAAAAGGATACTGATCACCATTAACGTATATTACTGACAAAACAAAGAAAGCATGTTCTAGTCTATGTAACAACCAGACAACAATGCGTAATCAGACAATCGACCAACATCCAACAGACGAAACTGATCTGTTAACTGGCACTCATTTCTGTGGTATGACTGTTACGTCCTGTCATACACCATTATGGCTCTCGGTATGAACGTTGCTGAAATCGGTAACTGCAACGAAATGATAATATTATTATTCTTTATTCTTAGATTACATGTTTAATTTGGAAATATATAACTTCAACGTCATGTATCGCGTTTTGTATAAGGTGCCCTCAACACAGCAACACAAACTATTACAGTATACGATATATTCAATCACCTGCAGCTTACACTGTCTGGTACTCGAAAACAGCCCAAATGGCACTGTTATAGTTATTCTCCTTACAATTGTGACAGCAAGTACAGATAGTATATTATGTACATATCAGGTCTATTTTACCATGCTGGAGGGACAATGTGGTGGCCAAGTAAAGGCATTCGCTCAACACGGATCCGATTACCAATATGGGTTCCAAAGACAGAAAAGAACTGTGGTGTCCCCGCTCGTGAATATTGAATTCTGAAATTCTGATGAAAACGGTGTAAAATGAAAGCTTCTCACTATACACTTGAGCACTTTAAGCTATATCAAGTCTACATCATGTATCTATCTGGTGTAATCAACGTTATTCGTCATGTGTAAAGACGTTATATAGAAATCAGTATTTCAGAAACCAGTCTCAATATTTAGTCAATGCTGGTAATTCATCCTGGAAGTCAATCAAATCTACCATATTTTTTGCTAATATATTCCGTATTTAAATAGTTTCTGATGTTGCAATGCTACATAACTCTTTCTGTTCGAAATCGAAATGTGTGCTTCATTGGCTTAGTATGCGCTTCTGAGTTTGTGCAGGAGAGTGGCCTCCCTTGACAAATGGGAAGAGGCCTCGTTTACACTGACAAGAACACAGTACTGAACCACAAAGGTATTAATGGTAACGTGCATGTTGCCACAGAAAAAAGAAACAAACCCACTTTGTATTTTCCTGCAAATAAACTCCTGGATAACTCTCGACAATAGCTCTTTTTGTTTCATCACGAACAGTTTCATTACGAGTTTATGCAAGGATGCATTTTTCAGTCTTGTTAAGAGCATCTACCACTACTATACTGAATTATGTACATCGAAGTTTAACACATAATAGAAAATTCACAATGAAAGTCGACTACATGTACGATGCCATCTCAGTCCACATGACTTCCTCTCTATCTTCTATTTCCATGTTCTGAGTAGTGCCAAATCTGGGATCAGATACTATTTGAAGATGTGGGTTATAACTGGCTTCAGCAACCCATACTTGTTAAAGGCGACTAACGAGATCGGGTGGTCTGGCCCGCTGACTGGAAAACATATGTTATCGTATCCCAACTGCGCAGATCACTGCTCGTGCTGTTAATCACTGGATTGTCTGGTCCAGACTCGATTATGTACAGACTCTGATTATTGCTGAGTGCAGCAAACAACTAACAATCGTGTGTGTGACGTTTCCTCCGTCATGAAAGTAAGAAAGCAAACCTGATATGCAATCTGAACTCATTATAGTCACAGCGTTAAACGTAACCATATACAATCGATGTTACCATTGTACTTTGTGTGTTATCAATATCTTAATATATGAGAGATATGAAGATATTAGACATTACTTAATTTAACCAGTCTAGAACTACAGAAATATATCTGTCTGTCTGTCTGTGTTGAATATTATAGTACTTAATTTATGTAAATATTAAAATAGTGTGTTATGTTTTGGATTTCTCTCGAGTAAACAAACATCCACATTTCTCTGGAGTAGACAAAGACGTTCCTTTATTCATAATGCTGGGTTTTTTTTAATCGTATGATGAAAAAATGTTGTCATCGATTATTGTTCAATCTGTGAAGCCCTGTCATCGATATTAACGTGTAACTAGCACTACCAGTACGTATGTCCACCCAAAACTGTAAACTGGGAGGCCCAATCGTCTGACAGGTCCGTGTTGTTTGTGACATTACGTCCAGGCCAGCAAAACCTCCAGACACGAAGCTCGCGTCCCCTTATATAATGGTTGAGGGAGGACGCCATGGGTGGTGTGTGGGTCTCGGGTGAAAGTGACGAAATACAGGATGAGTCTGAAAACATTACACTATACTGGCATATTTGCACAGTAATTCTCATTAAAATAACATTTAGCATTAGTTCGCTGAATGAGTTTAGAGCAGCATCTACAATTCCCTCACATCAAACTTTTCTCGAGATCTCCATCTCTTTTCTCGTTAAAATTTTTTATTTTCTATTCTAATACGAGCTCACGTTCTGTCTCTGCCCTCGCTCTTTTCACTCGCTGTTTTTAATCGCATTCTCTGAACAACCAACGTCGTCACGTGTTCTCACAGTGCCACCGAAACGCAGGGCAGCCATCAACAGTAAGCACGTGGGAGGAAGCGCTAATGCAGGATGAACAGTGACATGGTGCATAGACGACTGATGCCTTCTTAACCTCAGGCAAAGCCAGGCGACACAGGACAGTGCGTATTTACAATGGAAGATGACACGTTGGACTAGGTGACATTCAGAGCACAAATTATTATGTCTTGTTCGTCAGTTGTTTGTTTGATTTTTGGTTTGTTTTGCTTCTATAAGCACAGACACAGAGCGAAATGCTGGCGTCAGTAAGATGAAACAAATTGTGTTCTGCCTAGAGACAATCTGCGGTGTTCCCGCCGTCCCAATCACAAGCAACAGGCCCAGACGACCAGATCCAGCAGCACATGCCTACAGAGATTTGCAGGAATGTTAATCGGGGTGGATGTGATAGGGGCAGTCGTGCAACCCAGGGGGACAGGGGCAACGTCTTGTTTTCGACGAAAAAGGGGTAACACAATTCCCATGTCAGCTCCAAAACGACCATCTACTCCGCCAGCCAAACCCAATATGAAGAAACCCCAGCTCCATCTCTCAATTACATCAGTGGCAGGTTAATCAATCCGACTTTGAACTGTAACGGGAATTTGGATTTGTATTTGTGTTTTTTGTTAGCGGCTATCGATGACCTTTTTGTTTGATTAACTCCCTTGCAATACTGCCGATCTGCCTGTGTGTCTCGTGCGGGCATGTGAGTGAGAAAGCCGTTATATGAATTCACTTTGTATCTTAAGCCAACATTGTTTGGATGACCACATCGTTTTAACGTAGCCAAAGAAGTTGAAGATGCAGTAAACATAGAATACCATCCAGAAATTAACTGGTTGTGAGTACACAAACAGGCACTATTACTAAAGTGAGGTTTTAGTCAGGGTTTCAGTTTAAGATACTCAGGACCTCGGCATGCCTATAACAATCTTAAATCTGCTAATGCTCTGCAGTCACTTTTGGAGGAGACTTGGCAGAAAGAAATTAAACTAGGTCCCACAGTAGACCTATTCACGCTGAGACCATTTGATTCGCTCATAAAATCCCTAATCGGCTTTGTGCCAAAATAATCAGTCCCAATTGCGAATATTTTAAATAACTAACATTTGCCCTTGTATCCGTAAATGTAAGTCTTTAAAGTGATATGGTATCACATATTCATCAGCATTTCATTTAATGCATTCTTGTCAGTCTGAAGCTTCTATAAAATTAATTTTGAAACTAGATATATTCGATAACAGGATCCAGTGGAGTTGGCACCCAAATTTAGTGCAAATCCAGAGCGTGGTGAAACAGAAATAGCACAAGTAGACTATTACTAAGATAAGTTTTACTCTGTATAAAAATATAGAAGAGATTGTAGATTCAAAATGGCATAAAAACAATACATATTTTTGTTAATTATTCCATACCAGTTCTCGCTCCATACGTTCAAAGTGCATTAAAGATGCTAATGTCACAGGTTGAAAAGGAGCTTGGGTGCGCCATAACATGAAAAACTAACAGCATCAAGCTCACCACAGCGCTCAACACAAAGATTTGTAAGGTGAAGTTTTACACTTGAAAATGACTGACTGAGTGAGTTCAAAATTTAACGTCACAACGGCAATATTGCAGCTATATCGTGACGAGGATTTGAATAATAAATAAAGTTTTAATAACTAAAGTCAAATTATAAACCCTGTCAACGAAGGACAGTAAAATAACTAGAGGATCAGATATAGATATAAATCTAGTATGAAAAGCAAAAACTTTTAACTATAGAAGACAATATAGAAAACAGGCTATATATTGCCAAAACCTGAAGGTAGATCACCATACAAGGGGCCATTACAGTTTACAGTACTTGAAAATGAAGTCACAACTGCGTCAAAGCCTGTATTTCCCATTGATGACATCAAAGACAAATGAAAAGGTATAAACAATCATAAAAAAGTCTCTTTCTGTTGATCATTCAGAACAACTAGCTTTAAACACTCTGCACAAGAGGTTATCACCATACATTTCCGGACTGAAGCAATCAATACTTTACCCATCGGGATGTATTAGTAACAGCTCACAACAAGTAACGTGCCCAGAAGGTGTTTTTACAAAGAGACACTATCGTGATGAATGATCTATAAACAAACCGTTCCTATAAATATCAAATAAAATTGATCTCTGTTTCAGATGCTGATTCTAGCATACCTATGACATCTTTGTGATTCTGTCCGACACCTTCGACATGCTGGCTCACACAGTAAAGATTTAAACCTTGCACAACGGTTACATGTTAGCAGCGCCACTGTGTCAAACATTGTTAACACCTTACTAACGTTTTGCATAAGTTCTCGTTTGCTGGCATGCTTAATATATCCCTGCCATCACAAAGTTAATGCAAAGCGTCATTTGAAGAGGTTGGGAGTGCCCGAGCATCAATTGACACTGTAGAAATGTCCCAAGACATTCCGAGTCAGCTTGACAAACAAACTAGAGCTTACAGCAACTAGAAATCTAAACATACCGTCAAGGCAGTGACTGCTGTAGCTCCAAATGGAGCTCCGACATTTGCATTTAGCCTATATCCTGGGTCTGTTTCCGATGTAGCAATAGTTAGGCACTGTCACCTAGCGAAGAAATTTGAAGCTGACGACTTAATCCTTGCAGACAAGGGTTTTACAATAGATGGGTTGCTGCCTCAGGGAGTTGATGTAAACATACCAACATTCCTTTCAGAAAGATCACTCTTTAAGAAGGAGGCAATTGTTTCAAGATGGCAAGAGCTTGTAAACAGGAAAAGAGGGCAAACGAGCGTATCAAAACCTTTACCATGAGCCAGAAACCTATAGCCCATCTCAACCAAACCAAAATATTTCAAGTGTGATGTGCACTCAAAATCTTCAAGCCCCTCCACTGAAGAAAGCAGATGAAAATATGAGAAAGCAGTCAAATTTTAGTTTAGTATAGCCTCAATATGTTTTGTACCTTCATCTCTTAGTGGTCATTTGCTCGAGTGCTTATTTTCATAAAAGCAATTACCTCTTCTCACATCTGATATCATTGAAAAAGTTAAATGGAAGATATACTAATATAAATGTAATCTTTTCTCAATATCCGCTCTGGTATCGGTGTTAGTTGTACAAGGATAGCCTTAAAGGAGAATACAAACGAAAACAAAACTTTTGATATATTGTAAAGGATATTCTAAAAGTCACATTCCGTGATTAAAATTGAACAAAAAGTTTATAAAATAGCAAAAAAGACACAAAAACGTACTCCTATTTCCGCCTATTACGGAAACAGCCGACAGTTAATGAGCAGAGGGGGTATTACGTGACTTGACGTCATAAGTGCCTGTTGCTGATGGCTTCCTCTCTGATGTTACCTCACAACTTAATGTCCGTGGATGCTGAAGCAGTAAAAGATGTTCCTGATGTTATTTCTGAAATGGATGTTAGACCGTATCAATACGGTCCGATTTTACATCTTGCAAGACAATCTTCCACTGAAGATGAAGAAGAAGAATCAAGCGAAACGGAGGCACCGCTTGAAGTCAAAATAAATTTTAAAATGGACCATATCATTTAACAAGATTACTATTTGTCAGCAAAATGTCATACAATTCCAGCCAGCAAACTCACCCC